CTTACTCTCCGTTCTCAATCAGGCACCCTCAGCAAGGAAGTAGCCCCAGCCCTGCCCTTCCCAAATCTCTCATACAGCAGATTTGAAACACAAATAAAGCTGTTTACACTACAATCTTTATATCACAGCAAAGCACAAACATATACCGTTTTAATTTCTTGCTGCAAAGAAATGACACTTTTATTTTTCCACTGTTTTATTATAAAAATCAACATTTCATTTGTTACAATTCAGCTTATTGTAATAATCAAAAAGGGGATTTATACAAGGTATTTTTATACAGTTATAATTAAAGCACTTATTTTACAAAAAGGGGGAAGTAAGTGGACAAGGGCTGACCAAATGTTGGTCATTATAATATAAATACATCCTTGCAAAGCACCATCGTACCAAAGTCGATGAACAAGAAACACCAGTTGACTTTAAGACAATGACGAATATTAAAGCTTAAGAAAAAATTTAAAAACATAAAGGATAAACATCCGAAAGCAGCACCAGATCCTTCACTTGCAAGTTAAGGCTAGTCCAGTTTAAGCTTCATAGTATCCTCTTTCCTCTCTTCAGTTTTCAATAATCCGGACACTTAACTCCATGTAATACTGGATTGAATCAGATTTTCTTTGCTTTATATTTCTTTTAATACCCCCATTTAGGCTTTGATATAAATAGATATATCTAGCTCCATCGATTAATATCTCTATTTCCTCAATACACTTAATTAAAAAACCAAACAACCCAAATGGACAGTGAAGCAAAAGTATGTTGTCTATAATTCTTTGGTGTTAACTTCTGGGAAAATTCTAAGTACCATGGTTAATCTACTGGTTAGTGAAATCTATATTCTACTTCTGAGTATAAGAAATCTTTGAGTCTGTAATTCATTCTATAAAGTCATGATGATACTTTTCAGCAATAAAACAATGATTTAAAAATTTCTTATGAAAGAGAAAATGATATAGTTTACCTCAATAAAAGAGTGAGGGTGGAGTCAGCTATTTTGATTTTCTAAGTCATTAAGAGAAATCTACAAATCTACCTCTCTTTCCACTCAGGTACAGGGTTAATCTAATAAGATACGAAATCAAATGAAAGAGAAATACCCTGAGGATATGGAGTCTCAATGGCCATCATTTAAATTTTTAAGAAGTTATAAATGTACAATTTTTATGTTGAAGTTCAAACAAAGTCCTTCACTCAAAGTCTGAATTACAAAAACCAAATTTTGAGACAGAATAATGACACCCTCCTGAAGTCAGAAATCACACACAAACTACTAGTGCTTTCTAACATCGTAGTATTTTTCTTGGACTATTTTTAGGCTTGAGATAAGGAAAGGACACCAAATAAAATTAATTTTTTTGAGTTTAAGAAGGTACAGCCATATACCTGTAATCCTAGCACTCTGGGGCACTGAGGCAGGAGGCTCACAAGTCTGAGCAACTTATTTACTTAAAAATACCCTACCACAAAAGTTAAAAAAAAAAAAAGCTGAAACGGCCTTGGGCTCAATCTCCAGAACTTTAAAATAAAAAATCTCATGTTTTAAAAACTTGATTATAAACTTCTTTAGGACTCAGTCCATGTCCATGTCCAGCTACAGTCTCATATGTGGATCCTAATTATTAGTTGACCAACTAATATCCATACACCGATATCCAATATTCCACATAAACTATGGATATATATGTAGCTATAAGCACTGCAAAATCATGACATACATGGGGGTGTGAAAAGTCCAAAATTTTTGTTTCTGGATATTGCAAGGTTTCCCACGCAAGAAATACAACTATTTTTTTAAAAAACTACATTCTAACACTTTGATCTAAGCAGCCCACCTCCTCCAGAGAAGACACTGCGAGCCTCTCTCAACTCTACTGTGACTATTCCTATCAGGTCACTTAACACATTTCATTAACAGTGTAGGTAGGCTGCAGTTATTAATTCTACTTTAAATAGCCTTCATTAATGTGCCTTTACAGAAAAAAATGTTTTCCCAAAACTAATTGCTACCTAAAACAGATACTATTTTTACAACTTAAATACTGAATGAGTTTCCCTTATACAAAGCATTGACTTCAGGGTATTTTAAAATGAACAAATAAAACTCTAAATTACCTAAAATTTTACTGACTGAACAATCCTCCTAGCCAGGTGTAGTGATGAACACCATAATCCTAGCACTCAGGAGACTGAGGAGAAGAATTCCAAGTTTGAGGCCAGCCTGGGCTATATAATGTATTCAAGGTCAGCTTGAGCTACATAGAGGCTATTTAAAAAAAAAAAACAAACCCAAACAAAACAAAAAATCCTTCCCCAAATTATTAGCCTATATTAGATGTAGATGTATTTTAACTGAAGCCTTCATTTCTAAATAACTTACTGTCCCTTTTCTCAAACTTCTTAAAGGATCAGGTTGTACTTTGGTGGTATATCACGAAGTGTTTTTATATTGGAATTAAAATAATTACACTTTTCAGCCGAACAGACACCACTAATACGTAGTATAGAAGAATGGCAGCAAGTGCAAAAGGCATAATAAAATTTCATAGAAGCAAAATTAATACTGAGAGAACACCATTCAGTGACTTGTGTGAATGTGCCACTGCCTCTGCCAGCTTGAACCACCAGTGGGAATGCAACATGTTCAAATCAGAGCCACCAGGCAGCAAGACACGAATTACAGTCTCCTCGTGAACAGGCAGCAAACCCCTTGGGCACTGAGGCAGCCAGGTTGAGAACCTTGGTCACAGAAGACCAATACCAAAGAGCTCGCTGCAGTGCACAGTATGTGATGTCAAAGCTCATTTCCCAAAGATTTGATTATCAGTAAGTATGCATAATTCAAGATGTTCAAAATACTCTTGAATTTAAAGATTAGATTAAATTCTATTCATTTTTTCTGCTGAAGTGACTCTCATGATACACTAAGCTTATCATCTTTTTGCACTTTTTCCCAACTTATGTTCTCATGTTCATTTTTCTCAATTTTTCCAATTAAAGCTCTCATGTTTAGTAATCAAGATATATTTTACTTATGCTTAACTGTCCATATAACCTGAGGATCACTAACTTTTCCAAATTGGACAATCCTCTCATTAAAAGTACTCTCAGAAATATCAAGAATCTATCCCAATGATCCCAGAAAGAGGATACTGAGATTAAGCTGCACTGCCTTCAAATAATTTCAAAACAAATTGGCACACAAATTAGTATTTTGCAAGAAGAGGCCATTGCCTTCGCAGTACAAGCACTTGGACTGGGATAAAACAAGGCAATATTCTTCTTAGTTCATTATAGTGCAAGTTTCCACACGGGAAGCCCACCAGGTAAAGATGCACGTTAAACATGTAAACATAGAATTCTCGAACTCTAATTAATACCCAGTTATTGCTAACCTTCCCATCTTCATTGAAACATCCAGTACCCATGTGTCACAGATCGGAAGTTCAATGTCCACTTTGTCTTAGACAGTGAAGCACTTTGTTCCAGCAACAGGAAGAGGCAATACTTGTCTGACTGAGATAAAAGACACTGATGGATCACCATTTGTATATAGCAAATCAAGTGCACCTGGCTCTTTTAAGTTGCTCCCAACATTCTGAGCATTAGTCTGAAACCACATTTTTTCCTCTTTAAAAACGTTACTTATGTATTTTTAAGTTGCTTGAAAAGTTACTTCGTCTCTGCCAAAATGCTGAATCTTTATTTCTGTTGACATTTTTAGGGGAGCTCTGATTACCAGAGAGGTCTCACCAATACAGAGTTAGAGAGAGAGAAACAGAGAGAGACAGAGACAGACACAGAGACAGAATGAACTAACTCACCAGTATCTCTATTAACGTAAAAGCACACTAGTTTAAAAAACACATTCAATTTTAGCAGAGCAGCGCTAGACACACGTAAAAAGCAGGAAGCTAACTTCTGGCAAGGAGGCAGAGCAGTGCTAGAATCATTCCACAGGTCAGCCCTGATAGCTGAAGATGTAGCAGCCCCAGTACCATACATGACAGCAGGTCAGGCAGGTTACATAAGAGACTTCTATTATTCCCCTCCACCCAACTTCTGATAGCTGAGAAGTTAAGTTTATCTTCTCATTTAATTCCCATTGTTAAATTTCTTAAATTATCTTACTCCATAATGGGATAAGAGAGAACACACATAAAAATACATGAGAATATTGTAAGAATAATTTGCGGATAATTTGAAAAAACCTAACATTCACAGTGGGTAACAGGAAGGTATTAAACTCATGTCACACATTAGAAGAGGTATGTATGTAGACATCATTCTGAGAAAACTCGGTCTAAAGAACATGAAAATGTCACAAACTGTTAATATAGGAAAAGCTAATGGTAACACACAAGCTCTTTTTAAATAATTTTCTCTAACCAGAACATATTAAATGTTTTACTCAAAAATATATAAAAAATGATTTCATATTGTGATATTATATGCTGAAAGTACTGCAAGGATATATGATTTACAACAAAAACATAATGGTTAGACATCATTCTTAAACACTGTCTATACGTGTTGTAAAAAAGACATTTTATTGAGCACTAAAATAATCTTGGAAGTGAAGAGGACTGATAAAATGGTCAACGTTTTACCATTAAGCAACAACAGTGGTCAAATTGAAGAGCTAAGCTTGCTGGGGAATGGAGCTAGTAAAATATAAGAATCAAGCCCTAAATTTTGAAAATTCCATTTAATCAACTGTTCAAAGCTTGAATAAATCATGATCTCAGGGCAAAAATGGCCTATAGAGTTGCAAGGGGAGGTGGCAGTGTGGAAACAAACAGAAAAACCTTTCATTTTGACAGAGGTGTGGGCTCTAAGGTAGGGACGGAAGACGCGCACACATAGCCCTACGGTGTCTTACAGACAGCAGAGCTCTCCCACAACAGCAGCGCCCAGAATACAGTTTTGTAAATATATTTTCCTTACTAAAATTGTTGGATCCCTAGAGAAAACAAAGCCCTTTGTCAATATTAGTATTATTTTTTTTTTTTTCCTTTCATGATTTCTTAACTTGGCCCTCAAATGTTAGTTAACATGAAGGCTATTTGGCTACTTCCAAGTATCTGTGGTTTGCTGCTCTGGAATAGACTTTTTTCTTCTTTTTCTTTTTTCAAAGTTTTTGGTATCAATAAAGCCCAGACATCCCTGGTCAGTGATGCCTTTATCACTCCCGTCTCCTTTGTATCGGTCACTTCACTGGGTTTAAGGCATGCTTTGTGTGTTCAGTTTGCAAAAATAAAACCTTTAGTACAAATTTACTTTTTATACAAACTTTTATGGCACAAGCAGCAAATCTGCTGTTTTAAGAAAATATATAAATATCCTTTTCTTCTGTACAAATATCTCCAGTATTCCTTACCCCGTTTTATAACTTTAACTGTACATGGTCTGCCTCATCTTTCTCTAATAGTTCCCTCCCCCCCTCCAGATCTCAACCAAATGTGTATTTACATTCTTCATGGCGGAGGCAGTCAGAGGAGGAGGGCCCCTCCTCAGGAGGAGTCTGTGCAGGGCGAGGGTGGTGGTGGGTACAGGTGGTGGGAGTAGCTCCTCTCTGTGTATGGAGAAGGGGGGCAGCTTTCATAGTTCTCCTCTGCCGACAAGTACTGGCTTCGGGGCGTGGGAGGTGGGGGCACAGGTTCTGAGTCATAGTTCAAGTCACTGGTGTAGCCTTTGGCTGTTGCCACCGAGGTCATTCTCCGGCTAGGAGCATAGTCACTGTCACAAACATCTGTGCTGCAGGGTGTGGTTGGGGGTGCAAAGTGCCGGTAGCTGTATGGTCTGTAACTGGTACAGGGGAAAAGTAAAGAGAACCTGTTAATTTTATAGAAAAGTAACTCTCCTTCTCAGACTTCAGAGATATGAGATGTAAACTTCCCTTTGAAAACTTTGAGCTATTACATTTTAAATCTGCCCAGATCAAGAGGCAAGTTTCAATGGCTGAGGAAGACAACATGTATTCTCACATTTGTAAATGCAGAGACAAGTAAAAATGGACAGGATAGGAGAACAGGTGAATCAATCTAGTCTGCGGATATGCTCCAAATTCTTGAAATTAAACTGTATCACTGAATTAAACAGGACTATTCAAAGTTGTACTTGGCCGCAGCTGTAGCTCAGTGGTTAAGCATGTGCTCAGCATACATGAGGCCCTGGTTTTGATGCCCAGCACCACATTTAAAAAAAAAAGCACAACTCAAAAAACCCCACGAAGTTCTACTTCATGGTCATCTTTAGAAAATCTCTTCATCTTGTACTTAGTTTACAGAAAAGAGAAGAATTTCTGCAGTTTCACAGACTATGAGAATGAGTCCTTACAGTTTCACCTACTCAAACATGTTAGCATTCTTTAAGTGTGCCATAATTTACCTAAAAGATAATTTAATATCTGAAAACTTTATTTCCTCTTTTAAAGTCAAATACTGTACAACCAAGGCTGAATTTCAGTAGACAGCCTGAGGGTATAACTACCCCACTACCAAATATGATCAGGAGAAGAAACTCATTTGGGGAAATAGTTTTGATTCTCTGTGTAAAGATGGGTATTAATGTCCTAAGAGCAGATTCAACTGAACATCAAAATGATAAATTTTAAATACACATAAAGTGCCAAAGAATTTTACAATACATATTTCAGAGACCTAATGTATTTCTTACACTTGTTTAGCCTTTGAAGTGATCCACAGTTGGTAAATTTGTAGGAAAGCATAAAAAGAGAATAATGTACTTGTGATGATAAGAGCTGACATAAAGTGCTGAGTTTGCTGTCTTTCCTACTTCTATTTGTGACTTCTTATACATCTTTAGTCTGAGTATGATAAAGGTTACTTGTTTCATATTTACCCAGTCAAAGGTTTATGCATAAGCTTTTTCACCAAATCAAATGGCTGTGAGAGAATGGGTAATAGCGTGAAAAACTGACAGGCTAATGCATAAAATATACAGAATAGTATCCCAGGATACAAACCATCTATTGTCACTCCTCCTGGACTCAACAGAAATGTCTGCCAGAAGATCCTAGGTTACATGACTTGTTGAGCAGATTCTCAAAGCTTTTACTATTAGTACTGACATGCTGTCTTAAGGGTTTTTGATTTTTTTTATCTATTTATCCAAACAAGTGTCAAGCCTTGGTGAAATTTCCTACTTCTCTTTTTAAAGGGCAAATACTTCCATTTTCATGGGATAAGGGGGTGTATTAACAAAATTCTAAGTGCCAGATGAGACAGATCTCAACAATAAAGAGGAAACAGAAATTGAGCTTAATTTGAGACACAGAGTGGTTAAATAAAAATTGTTTTAAGTGTGATTATATTTATTTTTGAACAAACTTTTATTCAATTTGAATGAAAGTAGGTAAGTTTTTAAAATAAATTTTCAGATCTTTCCTTTTGCTTTTCTACTTTCAGACTTCCACTTTTTATGTGGCTTTTTAGAACCAACTCTTAGCAGGGACAGCAACATTATAACAATCAGAAAAACAATTAGTTAAGAGCCAAGCCTATGTCAAATAGTCTTATCTCAACTGAAAAGGGAATTCCGAACGATACTCTAGTTTCCACTGTATTTCCATGCATGAATGGGGCTATGTCAGGTCCACTTGACTGAAATGCTAGGAAACACCTCATCAGGAAGGTGAGCACTGAGGGATGCTCACAAACAGCACTCTATATACAAAGCTGTTGATTTTTACTGCCTTTCAAATGAAGTGGAAGACAAAATATTAACTGACCTGTCACCATGCTCTATAGACTCACAAATTAGTAGAAAGATACCATTTCCCCTGTTGTAGCTGACAAATATACTTCATTTTATTTTAGTTAGTCTTAACTTATTCCACGCATCATGAGAAATCTTTCATTCCAGATCACAATAACACACGTAAGCAAGGGCTGACCTTGTAAGTTTTCTTCAATTCTCTCAAATCTTGTACTCTTAAGACGCCCTGCTGGATGACAGCTCTCCAACTCTCTAAACCAGTCCTAGCCCAATATTCCATTATGTTCCCTTTTTGGGGGTGGGGAGGAGCTGGGGATTGAATCTAGGGGCACCCTACAAATGAGCTACTTTCCCAGCCCTTTTTATTTTTTGAGACAGGGTCTTGCAAAATTGTCCAGGTTAGCCTTGTACTTCAGATCATCTTGCCTCAGTCTCCAGAGTAGATGGGATTACAGGCATATACCACCACATGGCCCTAATATTCTATCCTTAGAGTATCAATCTTACTTAACACAAGAAGTAATTTATTTAGAATCAGTCACTTTGGTGGGTAAAATTTCATCAGAACACTGCCAAAAGCAAGGTGTGGTGGTACACACTTATAATCTTGGCACTTGGGAAGCTGAGGAAGGAGGATTGCTATGAGTTTCAAGGGCAGCCACTACAAAGCAAAACTGTCTCAAAAAACAAACAACAAACAAACAACCACCTCCCCCACACCAAAAAAAAAAAAAAACACGGCCAAAACCTGGACTCTCTTTCATTGCTCTTGTTTTATTTATTTATTTTTTTTGACAGAAGAATCTCACTATGTGGTTCAGGCCGGTCTTGAACTCACTATGTAACCCAGTCTGGCCTCAGACTTGTGGTAATCCTCCTACCTCAGCCTCCCAAGTGCTTATAGGCTTCTGCCTCCATTATTACTCTAAAGCCAGCATCTGGGGTCCTTAAAAAAACAAAGTAAAATGCCCTGAAAGAAAAACTGTCAAGAGAGGCAACATCAGCATTGCCAACATTCTCTCGCCAGTGACTGTCGACTTCTCATTTGGGACTTCATCAAGCCCCCAAGTGGAGTCTTTCCCTTTTTTTTGCTTCCCCACACTGCACGTCAAACCCATGATCTCATGTACGGTAGGCAAACATTCTACCAAGGAGCCACACCCCCAACCCTTTTTATTTTATTTTTTGAGACAGGGTCATACTAAACTGACCAGGCTAGCCTTGAACCTGCTATCTTCCTGCTTCATCCCCTGCATGTAGCTGGAATTATAGATATGTACCACCACGCCCAGTTTGCTTCTTTGTGGTAAGCATTTCCATTTCCATTAAGAGGATGTGGTATATTACCTGTACGATCTATGAGTAGAAGGACTGTTTGAAGAATAACCAAATTCCATAGTGTAATGTGATCGCTCTGTGGCAGGGGATGGTGGTGGGTTCAAAATCTAAAAGGAAAAATAATTAAAATATTAAAGTAACAATACTCTAAGCCAGACAGAGACATAGACATTCTTTCATCTTCTAATCGTATTGCTTTCCAGGGACTGTTAGCACAAACCTCCTTTTCTAAAGAACTGACCTCAAACAGTACTTGAGAACTTTGGCTCTCCCTTCACTAAAATAATTTCATTGAGGCTAAACAGCACAAAAGGATTAAAGGAAAATCTATTACCTTCAAATCATGTGTTTAAGTTCAACAGAGCTGGATTTTAGTTTTTTAAAATTATACATGTTCAGATAAAAATGACAGATACATGAAAAAGTCTAGGTATACTTATTTTTTTAGGAAGTTAAGAAATGAAGGTTCTAAATCTTTCAAGATATTTATTTGAAATGTGAAGTCAGTGCCCACTGCTTTCAAATATCTTGGTTATTTATAAACACAAGGTGGTGGTGGTGAATTGCTCAAGCTTCATATCCCAAATTCTGTATTAAAAAACTACTTCTACATTATTATTACCAAGTACCCACATTCAAATGAGATTTTAGTATTTTACTATTCAGAGAAGAACAAAGCGAAACAGACTGCTTACTGCAGGGAAGTAAGTGCCTTTGGTGCTGGAAGAACTGCTTGATGATGCGCCTGTGACATGTGCTCGATCATAAGGGGGTCCACTGCTTCCCCCCATGATACTGAGGGAGCTGATCATTGATTTACCTCGAGACATTCCTAACAGAAAGGGAATAAAAACTGAAGATGAGTAAGATCTATTACGAATAAAACTTTATTCAATACTAGTTACAAACACTGGTTATGGCTCATATCTACATGTGCCCCCAAAGCTTCATGTGATCATAGGTGGGCTTTGGGTGATGATTGGATCACGAGGGCTTGATGCTCATCAGTGGAGTAGTCCACTGATGAGCTTACAGCTCAGCATGATGTTGGGAGGTGAAACCCGGCCACAGGAGGCAGGTCACTGGGTGTGTGGCCTGGAAGAGTCTCTCTCCCTCCCGCCTCCCTTGATCTCTCTCTGCCTCCCACCACCATGCCATGGGCTGTTTCTCCTGTCAGTCAACTATGGACTGAAACCTCTATAAACTGTGAGCCAGGACAGACCTTGGAGTTGTGGGTATCAGGTACTGTGTCTCACCATGTAAATAACTAAGACAACACCAATAGTCACAGTAAAATAGTCAATTTAAAAACATACGCCCTCTTTTCCCAATAATAATTGGAAATGGTTAATGAATAAGGAACTTCTAGAGAATGTTCCTTAGAAGTGAATGCTTCCATTGACAGAAGGCCTAGAATAAGGCCAAGAGTTCCCACCTGCTCCCTAATGAGGTTTTCAACAGCCTGGACAGAGCTGAAGAAACAGGACTGTGAAGGGTGAAGGTTATAAAGCAGCACGGATTAAATAGTGAGACTTTTCAAAAGGAAACAGCTATTTTTGGGGGCATAAAATAACGCATGGGCAGTATTTCTTTGCTCACTGGATGCAAGTACTGCTAGACTCAAAACTACTAATGTTAAGGAAGAAATTCTATTTTTTCCAAGTAGCTTTCCAAATTTCACTTGCTGAAAATAGGTATGGCAACAAGGAAACACTGTCAGCTGAAATTCGATGTGTTTACTTAAAAGTTTTACTTGGCCTAAATTCCTATTTTCAGAAGTCTTTGGCCTGGCACCCCCTTCTCTATTTTCATTAAAAGGAAAGCTTTTCACTAAGGGCACCAAGAAACACTGACAATAAAGCTGTGCTTTCCTAGAGCAATATGGCCTACCCAAGCATAGAAGCTTTGTACACGTGGCTGTGACAAAAGCAGCACCACTGACCCTTCTGTCATCTCTAAATCACAGAAAACATGATAGTGTATCTTTCCCTGCTGTTACTTGGTTCCAAATTTTTGATTGCTGAAGGGAGGTTTATCCTGACAGCAGCGCTAGAGTGCCCTGGTTGTGAATCTATACGTTTTCTAACTTGCAGCTCTTCACAACAGACCAGCGAATTCTCTTTTCAGTGTATTGTGTCTCCAAAAGGACAACTGGGGGCTTAGTGTGTTTGCACTGTACCAATGCAAATTGTACCAATTTCTGCTATACTGTACCTATGGCCTTTTGCATAAAGAGAAGGTGCTAGAAGTAATAACATTTGTTCTTGTAATTTTTTAAACACAAATAATCTAGTTTGAATCAACTCTAAGTAACATCTTGTGTCTATAATGGAAATGTAGTAATTCTGCTAGAAACTAAAACTTGATGGGTCCGTCTTAATTCACCTGGAAGAGACCCTGACAGAGAACTCGGGTGTGGCACATAACCAAGAGGCACAGACGCTGGTCCATGAACCACATAGTCATTGGTCATAGCTTCCCCATCTCCCTTCATGCGTGGACACAACATCCTCTGGCAGATGAAGTATATAGTTCCAGACACAAAAATAGTGACAATCACTCCAATTACTGAACCAACCGTGTTGGTGGCCTGTGGTGCTGGCTCTTCAGTTGGATCTAAAATGAGAAATGCTGTATAATTATCTAATGGAAAAATAACAATGCATTCAAAATAGCAACAAAAAGGATGTGAAGCTATAAACAATTTGTAAATATAATTTTTTTATGGATATATATATATATGCCCCATGAAAATATGAATTAAATTATCATTAGGAATCAAAATAAACTACCATTAACTGAGAAAAATTAAACAGACTAGGAAGTATAATTGTAAATTAATGGGAACAAAAATGGTAAGTACATATTTAAACACCATTAAGTTTTACATTCATATATGGATAAAATCTACTTCATTTTCAGTATTACAAAAATCAAAGTTATTTTGGAATTTCAGGGAAAATTTTAGGTCAGAAGGAATAGACCAAGAAAAGTCATCAAATATTTCACCTGGAATGGTGAAGAAGACAAAAAGCAGCTCTGAGTACTTGTTAGATTTGAGGTTTAAACAGTAATATTTAGGCCCAGTGAAAGAAAATTAGAAACTACAGATGAGCCTGGGCTCTGAGGTCCCATATGCTGCTGTCTTTAGGCTGTCTGAATGTCAAGAGCAAGGAACACAGGTCTCTAACACTTAATTATCAGAGGATTTGTGGAGAAAAGGCCAGGCCACTAGAGGAGGATGCTTCTCAGGACAGTCACCATCCCTGGGTCCCTAAGCTACTCGAGTTTTGAAGAAAGAAGTAGAGGGTGCATAACATCACAGGTAGAAGGAAGGAACAAAAGGGCTTATCAAATGTACAGTAGTAACTCTCCTCTGAAGGAAAATTCTTTCATTCTACTTAATTTAGATCTCACAATTGTAAATCCTTTTTGAAACGCTTCTTTCTACCTCAAATCTCCAGCTAAACGCACCTCTGATGTAACAAGTAATCTAACAGAAACAAACAAAAATGAGTAAGTTACATCACACATAGGGGCTTCAGTAAGAAATTAGCCTATGCAATCTGAGGCAGACTCTCTTTAGTCTTTTCCAGCAACATTCCAACTTTTCTATTCCTTTTTAGTGTTAGTGCTTCAGCATTCCTTTCCTAACTTTAAAATAGAACACTTTATGAAACAGAAGATCATGAATTTGAGCCCAGCCTGCAACACATAGTAAGATCCTATCTCAAAAACACAGAAGACAAAAGGACAGAAAGAAGGAAAAAACGAACAGTTTACATTTACTACCACCCACTTCTAGGCTCTGGGTCATATCTTAACTCACTGAATTCAGCTCCTATCCTCACCCACTGCACTGAAACTGCTCTAATAAAAATCAGAGTTCTCAGAACTGCTATATTCAATAAACTCTTATCTCCATTTCACTCTCTACACATTCGGTGGTACTTACTCCCGTCTTCTTCTCAAAAATAGCTGTTCAAAAGCCTTCTAAGACACCAGTCTCCCAGTTTTATAATTTTTATTTTTGGACTCTCTAATGCAAAATACCCTAAACTGAGTTCATCACTACTCCCACCTGTCATTTCCCACTGATTCTAGAAGTAGATCATAAATAAACAAAATGTTCCAGTGGTCAATAAAGAGCAAAGGGATCTATGGCAAACTCTAAAGTGCATACCTGCCTAAAGGCAAGTGAAGTAAAACCAAAAATAAATTAACAGAAAACATTAGTTTAGTTTTTGGTCCTTGCTATGTATCTTGATAACTCTGGTCACTCAGTAAGGTATCTGTGGGTCAGCTTATCAGCCGTATCTAAGGCGCTGACAAGCTCTTTTTATTTACCAACACCATTCCTCTTGATTTATATCTTCATCATCTTCTGTCTAAGTGACAACAGCCTCCTAAACACTTCTAAATTACAGACTAAAAGTCATTCATAGATGATGAAAACAATTCAGTGGGTTACAACCAGCATTTAAAAAAAATTAAAGAAAAAACATAATCTACATCATTTGGGTAAATACTCTTGTGTGACACTTTGGATCTTTACATATGCATCCAAATCTTTGTATTCCTCTTGATGTGGTCCAAAGAACTTTGAAAACAATAAGCCCAATAGATTTCTGTGCCTACAATCTTACCACTCTCAATACATCTGCTGTACAGCTTTGGCATTTGTGTGGTAGCCATGCTAATCCTTTTCTTAAAACTGTCAATGACTCCCTTGTGAAGGTTTTTTAGAAGAAAAGCAAAGTCCTCCCAAGATCTTATCTTTATGATCTTACAATATTATTATTTCTTGTTGACACCCCTTAAGTCATAGTGTGTATTTTGGCAGTCCCATCTACATTTCCCAAAGATGCCTGGTTTCACTCCTTTCTGCTTCTGAATAGGATAGTCCTACCTGGAATGCACTTTCTGCTCTTATCTGCACAATGAACACTTTCAGTCATCAAGACTCAACCTTCAGTAGCATTTTTCTACAAAGCCTTCCTTGATCAATTCCATTCCTAAAAAACTACCTACCCTCCTTTGTACTACCACCTGTACAGATCTCTTAGTAACATTTTTCATATGTATTACTCACCATACTATTATCAAAAGTACCTACTATGAGCCAGACAATGCATCAGCCAGGCTAAATACGACAGACATTAAAATCAGTAAATTTTCTCACAATCACCAGGTTAAGTATCATTATCCTGAGGAATCCAGGGCTTAACCAGAACAAATAATTTGCTGGTGATGGAAAGAGCTAAGATTCAAATCAAGTGTAAATGGTTCTAAAATTCCTATTCTTACTACTTTCTCAGCCATAGAAGACTCTGAGAATCTTGGTGTAGCCACAATGTATCCTCAGTATATAGCAATGTCTAGCACCAGATAGTAAATGCTTGTTGAATGAACAAACAGAATCTAAAAACTTAAAAGTATCCCACTTGAACTTTTCTAATTTCCATCAAATTGGTTTTGATACCGTAAATCTGGCTTATGTTGAATTCCATTCAGAATTAACTATAGTACAGTATATCAATTTTAAATATATTATATTTTAGGGTGTTGGTCAACTGTGATGAACATTTCAGAAACTACAGGGTTTGTCTCTATGTCTCCAGGGAGACATACGCCCAAGCATCCAAGCATCCTCATGCTGCATTTTAAGAAAGCTTTCACAGTCTTTTGCCCATTGAGAAAACTGTGGAAACAATTTAAGAAACATGGAAGAAGTTAAATGTGAACTAATATTCAGAAACAAAGTTCGGACCAAATGATTTTTCATGTATCTAAATTATTTGAGAACAATGTTTATTCTCTTCTGGCACTTTACTAAATATTTATGTATTTTTATGCATAAAAAAACTACTATCTTTAAGGAATTATTAAAAGCAAACAATTTAAAAAATCCCTAACACAAATAACTAGTTTACTATTAATACTTGTTGTTGATAAGGAAACTTTTATTGTACGTAAAACTTATTTTAAAAAGCCATTTAAAAAAATTCTCCCTTAAGAGTAACTTACAAGGTTTCATTTTTACTTACAACAATCCAGTTCATCAGATTTGTCACTGCAGTCCACATTATGGTCACACTTCTTGTGCTTTCCAATGCACTGGCCATTGCCACAGCGGAACTGATCAATTAAACAAAGCACTGGAAAAAATGTAAATAATTTTCTCATTTTAAACATCATATAAAGCCAAATTCAACAAGAGTCTAAAGGTACTTTCTCAATATGAATGAAAACCAGACTAGATTTTTAGATTTAACTTTAGTCTCTGGGTATTTCCACTAGTAGAGAGAAAAGAAAGAGTAAAAAGAATTCAGCAAGAGATTTCTTACTTTGTTCTTTAAATTTCCTCTTTTAATAATTAATTTTTGTTGTTTACCTGAAAGAACTCTATAGACCTTGTTTGTTTATACTGTGTAAGGTTAGTAAGTGAAAGAAGAGAATAAGGTAGTTTAGACTGTAATAAATAAATCAACCAATACAGATGCACTGAAAACAAGAGCTATTTTTGCATACTTCTGACTTAATTTTTTGGTCTTATTTCTCAGTTTTCAGACCTTACTGCCATCATTTGAGTTCCTCCAATGTTCATGTGCTAGAGGCGTGGAAGTCTGTACTGCATGACATGAAGGTGCTAGGATCTTTAAAAGCTGGAGGGAGCCTAGTTGATCACCAAGGTCCTGTTCTCAGAATGGACTGAGGTATGTATAGTCAAGGGACTCTGAGTTAGCCCTCAGGGGAGACGGTCATGAAAAGAACAACCTGACACCATCTCCTCACTCTGGCTCCGTATCTAGGGATGAGATCTCTTCCTCTCTTCAGTCTTCTAGTCACCATGCTCATCTCCCATGATGCCTTTGCCAAAGCCCAGCTAATGCCAATGTCAAGCCCCTGAATCTCCAGAACTATGGGCAAGTAAAATTTTTTCCTTCATAATTAGCTTTGGGCACTGAATTTAGAAACAGAAAGCTAACTAAAATACTTACTAATCTGAATAAATGCCATGCAAGTGAAATGAATTAAGATAATTTGGAACATGACATTATGCTTACAATATGCTCAAATGTCATACTGAAAAATGACACCTAGTGATGCTTATTTGAAAAAAGTTCAGAATACAGGGTCTAAAGCCCACAGGTTGTCTATTTAACTCTGGGCTTCACTGTGGTGATGGTAAGTTTCAAAATTTCCAAACATTCCCTGTTTTTCCAAAGTCATTACAGGGTATTTATAAAGGCTATTAAAATCAAGGTATAACACTATCTGTGATAAGGCTCAAGTGTAGGGTACCAGCTAAGCATGCTTTAACTCCTGCAGTTTATCCACAGCAATCCCATAAATAGTCTCCATGTTGTTTAGAAGGCCAGGAAAACTGGAACAAAGTTACCAAAACCCCCAAATCTATACTGAGCCAAAGTAATTTACACTGAATTTTAAACAAGTTGATGGAAAGGACCATATGACTAGGCATAGAGGAATTGTGGATACCTTCACAGTTCTTTTCATCTGATTTATCCTGGCAGTTTGCATCCCCATTACATCGGAGGGCACCATCAATACACTGCCCACTGGCACACTGGAACTGGGACTCTGAGCATACAGGACAATTGAGTTCATCACTGTGGTCTTCACATTCAGTAAACCCATCACAACGCCAAGCCACAGGGATACAGTCAATTTCCCCAGTGAAACAAGTAAACTGCTGAGGAGAACATGTTGGGGGCTCTTCAAATGAACAAGGAGGAGGGAATGACAAAAGCACAATAATGGTCACACAGAAGTACAAACATTTATATCCAAATGAAGCTCATTTAATAATTAACATATACAAAATACAATTTTTAAAGCATCTCATCTAATCAGAAATTTTTCTGCTACTTAATTTAGGTTCACTAACCTGAAAAACTATGACAGAAGTTTTCTCACATATTGTAATTCAAGAATGGTTATAATATCTGCAATCACATGTAACCTGAGAACAATTATGATCACCCGTCTCCAATTATCTTAAAGTAAGCCCAGAACTCACTTTTTTTTTTAAATCTGAGGTTCTCAAAAGGTAGTCTACAATCCCCCCTGGGAATCCTTAAGTCCTGTTCTTAGGGGCTATTCACTATTTTTACAATAATTCTAAGATGCGATTTGCTTCTTACATTGCATTTACACTGATATCACCAAATGGTGGGTAAAACCATCAGCCCCTGTAGGGACTCAGCAATCACACTGTACTAGTAGTCACCAGGCTCTATACAGCCATACATTCACAGTTTAAATAGGACAGTTTCACTTAAGAATGGTCATGACAAATCAATAAGAAATGTTAATTATATTAAAATCAACTTCTGAGTATAAGTCTCTTCAACAGTGTTTGATGAAATGGTTGTATGCACAAAGCTCAAGTAAACCTAAGTAGGACGGTTTCTAAAGAGAAAGGATCTGAGTGTTAAGTGGAAATCAAAATCAAACACTATTTTCACCTGAAAGAATAAAAAAATCACAAACTATAGTTATTTACAGTTGGATATCTGGTGGGAATTTTTAAAAAATGAACTCAATGAGCCCATTAACCTAAAAAAAATCATGACAGTACTTGTGGCAAATTATAACATCAAAGCTGTCAACTGGCAATTACAATTCTGAAAAACCTGAATCTACCAAAGATTGTAAGCTTCACAGATTAGCAGTACTTAAAAGATTTTTCTGATGAAACTGATGATTTTTTAACAAACGTGATTTTTAAAAATATTATATAATAAAATGGGTCAAAATCTGAAGATCTGGGGATTTCTAAATGAAATATTAACACCAAATGACTAAGGTGGGCTCAAATGATCCTCCTGCCTCGACCTCACTGGTAGCTGGGAATACAGGCATGCACCACCACACCCGGCCACATCAGCACATTTTAATATAATGGATTAAGGAAAGTTAACAGATGTGGTTTCAAATTCTACATTACAGCTAAACCTATAGGAAACTAACACTTGTCAAGATTTGCTGTAGAATCCAAGAATGTCCACAATTCTTTGAAAAAGCTATTATTATAGTCTATTTCCCAATCATGTATCTGTGTGAGGCCAAATTTTTTTCATACATTTCAACAAAAACTACCTACTACAAAATAATGATGTGGAAGTATACATGAGAATACAGTTCAACATTAAAAAGATTTAGAGAAATGTAAAGCTTTACAAAAATGTAAATTGTGAAAAATATAAATTCTTTTCACTAAAATTATATTACCTAAACTATATACTACAGTTGTTTTCTTAGCATATTTCACTTATGAATGTGTGAAAAGGGTTATTATTGTTACTTTTAATAGTTTTTAAAGTTCTTGGCTTTAAATTCTGGTAATGTAAATACAGATAAACATAAACTATAACAACAAAACCTATTTGGGGTCCTCAACAACTTTTTAAAATGTAAAAGCATGCTGAGACCAAACAGTTTGAGAACAGCCACTCAAATCCAATTTTCCTATTTTAAGAATGAGGAAACTGAGGTGCAGAGAGGTTAAGTGACCATGCCAGGCTACAGAACTTTTTATAAACAAGGAATAATTACAAGGCAGTAAGAATAAGAAGGATAGTGTCCTTAAGGTTAGCCCACTGCCTGCAGTACTGTATTATAAACTCCTTAACAATTTGACTGTTGGTAAATTCTCTTGGGAATACCTATTTTATTATATGTCTATGAACTAGAAAACCCTTTATCTTTAAAACAGAACATTACAAATTACAGATGAACACTGTACATGTGGAAATTGAAGGATTCTTTTCTAAGAGTTATTATGCATCTACTCAACAACTATACTACATTGCATGGAAAATTAAAATAGATAAAATATGATTCATGTCCTTAAAAATCTTTTAATTTGGTTGAAGAAAAGGACTAATAAAAAACAACTGACATTACTCTTAACTACCTGTCATACAAACTGTGGTAACAAGTGCTGCAATTCAGACAGTGGAGACAACAGCAGGTAGTGAGGTTTTCATAGATCATTAAGGGACCAGATGCCTCTTGCAAGCAGTAAGATTTAGGATAGGCAAGCATGAATCAAATTACATCCCTGAAATATCACAAGAAAATCTACATAAACAAAACAAAAAAATATACCATAGTTCTCCTCAAACTCCGAAGAGACAAACAAAAATAGTAAAGTTGGGTAGAAATACAAAATGAGATGGATAGATAAGATGAATTTAAATGAAATGTTTTGAAAGTCTGGTAGAAAAATTAAGATTTTATATTTATTTGCATTGTAAAACCAATACTAAATTATAAAAAGGCTTGTACATAAATGTTCACTGCAGTTTTATTCTTGATAGCAAAAACTGAAAGCTGAAATGTTCCTCATTTAAGAGTAACTGTGATGTTATATAATGAAGTGCTACCCAGCAATAAAAATCATATAATGATACAATCAGTTGTACTGTTGAATCTCAAAAATATATTATGCAAAAGACTCTTAAAACAAGATTACATATTATGATACCACTGATAACAGGTTCAGGAACAGGCAAAACTACTTATGGGACTAACAATCTAGTGATGACTTTTGACAGAAGAAAATTGGAAAGGGACCCCAGAGTCCTTTTTTTCTATTTTTTTTTTTTTTTGTTTTTGAGAGAGGGTCTCACTATGTAGTTCAGGCTGGCCCCAAACTCACAGTGATCCTCCTGCCTCAGCCTCTGAAATGCTGGGATTTACAGACATAATTCACTAAACCTGGATAATGCCAGGGTTCTTTTCTTGAAAACTTCTTTGGAGGTTCTAGCAGGAGAGTGCAACTACTCGTATACCCTCCACTGAGGAGCTGGTCCTCCTCTGTCAGGGTGGTCATCCTCTTCAACCAAGCACACAGCTGCAGCTTCAGGAGGGACATACATGGAGCGATGAGGGAGGATGGGGACACCTACCTACCCAGCCAGACCGGCTGAATCAACCCTGGCGATCAATGGGGTGAGAGATGTCCCAGCCAGATCGCTCTCACACGCGCCAGGGTACTTTTCTTAGTGGCAACATTATATAACTTGACTTGGGTGTTGGTTAACACTGTTGTATACATTTTCCAAAACTTGGTGAGTATCCATTTAACACACATTAGAAACAGTTACTATATGTGCAAACAAAAACAATCAATGATCTTTTAAAAGATTCTTTCTAACTGAAAGATGAGATCCTTGATTCAGTTTTATTTGTTATCATTAACAGAAAGGGAACTTTTTCTAGGATTTTCCTTTTAAAGTAACTATCTAGCACTCTGACACGAAAACATGGTTTCTTCTATTGCGGTAAAAGACTCAACATAGGGCTAGGGATATATAGCAGCTGCACAGTGCCTGCCTAGCAAGCACAAGGTCCTGAGTTCAATTCCCAGTACAAAAACAAAAACAAAAACAAAAACAGATGCAACATAAAATTAAACTTATTAATTTTACCTTAACTGTTCAGTGGTGTTAAATACATTCACATTATTGTGCAGTGTTTATTTTACATTTCAAGAGCTGGAGTCTATCTGCACACGTCTGGGCTCCCTGATTACAAGTTTTTCAAATCCCTATAGTGCAAGTAAAGTGACTGTGGCTGCTACTCTATATATGCATTTTTATTTTTTTAAAAAACTTAAAAGTTAGAATAAAATTTATTTGTAGCCCCACATTACCAATAATTTTTATATTCTGAGTGCATATTCTTTTGAAATCTCAGCTCACAGAAATACTTATTTTACCTAATTATCACTATAGAAGAAAACATCTTTCATTTTTAAATTGTGCTTAGGATGGAACCCAGGGCCTCATACGCGCTAGACAAGCACTGTACTATTACTATTTTAATAACTTTTAACTCCAATTTTAGTAACTTTTGTGCCAGGGGCAATGCCACATGCTTGTAAACCCAGCTACTCAGTGGGCTATAGTGGGAGAATCCTTCAAGTCCAGGAATTTGAGGCCAGTCTGGGCAACTTAAAGATACTCTTGGTCTCAAAAAAAAGGAAAAGGGGACTGGGGATATAGCTCAGTGGCACGGCACCTGCCTGGCAAGTGTGAGGTCCTGAGTTGGATTCCCAGTTTAAAAAAAGAAAAAAAAAGGAAGAAGAAACGGTACTACCACCTCCCAGTAACCTTCAACACACAGCCCTTCTGGGGCATTTAAGATCCAAGCCAAAGACTGGGTGTGATCCCAGCACTGCATAAAGCATCCAGAAAAAAAGGCAACAACACTGTTTTTCCTCCTCTTGAGCCAAGTATATTTTTATACCAACTTCATGATCACAGCATTTATATCTGTATAAACTGAGTTATTACATTAAATAATTTCCCAAACAATAGATATTACATGGTTTTAAAATTTCTACCATCATAGATAACAACAAAAAGTAGTCTTATTTGGTCAGCTGAATTAACTTACAATTATGCTCAAAATGAAGATTTCTGAATTAAGAATATGAGTATTACAGTGCTTGATACTACCACACTGTGATTTAACCAAGGAATGTATCAATCTGTTATGACTCTTAAGTGATCAAATTTCCCTACAATATTATCGGTATACTCAGTAATATCTTTCCTTTAAAATTGTGGGCTTATTGATTGATACTAGGTAAGTAAGACAAACAGCAGGAAACTGCTAATAGATTTGAACAAAACTGTTCTTGTCACTGGACATATTCCTAACAATGATACACACACTGACAGAATCCAGAATTCAGTAGATGGAGATTACAAGATGCAGAATTAATTCATTTCACTACCATTGGAAAGGTAGCGAAGCTACTCTATTACCAGGAAATATAGCTGTTCTCAGGCTGAAAATGTGGTAATACATATATGCAATGAAATACTATTCAGCCTTAAAAAAAAAGAAAATGTTATCTTTTGCAGTTACAAATGAGCCTGAAGCAGAGAGACAAATACCACATCAACTCACTTATATGTGGAATGTAATAATGCACAGAAACAGAGATTAAAAACAAAGCTAAATGCAGGGGAAAGAGGATTTGGCAAAGGGGGAAAATATTCCAAAAGCCTAGTAAAGTACAGATGAACAGAAAAAAAGTGCCCAATTAAGTTATAAGAAACAGCAACTTCACTGTCTAATTACAGAGGGCTACACTAAAATATGGAATATGGTAGCGTTCAGGCTTGCATGAGAAAACTGTAACATATTTACCTCCACATGAAAGCTCATCTTGAAGCAGAACCAGGTGCATGGGGCAAGAACACCTTGTAGTACCATCACCTTTTACGAGACAAATATGTGAACAACCACCATTATCCTGGGCACAAGGGTGCTGTCCTGAAAGAAGGAACAACTCTTGTCAAAATGGATTTCTCTTAAGAACCACAAAGAGCAACAATTACAAAATCAGTTTGGACTTCATTTCTACATAATTCCTCACTCCCTCCATTCCCAAAAAAACCTGTAAGAAAATATCTATATCTAACAACCGTATGTGTGTATGTATGTATCTACTGTATTTTGAGCTATCTATCTACTGTATTTTGAGATGTATCTATGTTGTTCAGGCTGGTCTCAAACTTGGCTCATGTGATCCTCCTATCTTAGCCTCTCAAGTACTGTGACAACAGGTACACACACACATTTGTAAGCAAGATAATGGTATAAGCTTATGCTAATTTTGTTAATAAGAAAAGGGGATTACTGGAACAAGAAAAGTTGCTGGGGAGATGCCTAACACCTAGATATTATTCTCTTTAAAATATAAGAACTCTTCCCTAAATTAGATTTTTAACTCAGAAATTTCATCTAAAATATAAAACAATTTCACTTAAAAATTATATTTTTAATGAGGAAGTCAATGAAAATTACAGTTATAGAAGAAAAATCTTAAGATGACATGAAACTAAGCCATTTAGAGAGAGACAAATTTATTTGCTTCGTCAATTCAAAAAGTAAACTGCACTATTACAAATGTTTCATTTCCTCTTATTTGGGCTAAAATATACTTCTTAAGTGAAGTCAATTTGTCTTTTAGACAGAATTTCTGAGTTAAAAATCTTTAATTAAAGCAACAAACTATTTGGCAACTTTTCAGTCTGTTTCACAAGTTGTATTTAAGGTAATAACTACTCTGAATTTTTTGTTTACCTTGGGTTACAAGTAACCTGATACTTTGTCATCACAGAATAGCAACATGTAACCTATCCACCATTTGTTACTGCTCATCTACAATAACCAGGGGTCCTACTTCAGTTTGTGTTCAAGCTGAGACTCAGCTATCTGTGAATAAGCAGACACTCCAGACACCATTTTATTAGAGTATATAACCTACAGAGCAGTCTCTCAACCTTTAATTCCGGAACACTTTTGAGAAATAAAAATCTCATTCACTCGATGTTATCAGCAATTTCAAAAAATGCTTTCCGAACCACAAAACCAAAATATGCCTAGTTGTATAAAGGAAGATATTCCCTCTTATAATTCTTAAAATACCCCGATATTTATTACAAAAATAAATATTCCTATATCAACTGAATAACTTAGGTATTATGTCATTATTATTTTATTTCAATTAGAAGTCCAGCCTGAGTTATATAAATAACTGCCAACATAAATGCCAAAATACCCAACTTTCTAATTCTCAAAAAATCTAATTTACTTATAAGCTTACGAAAAGAGGCAACGTAACGGCCATCTGAATGAATCATAGCACCCTCACTCCTTTTTCTCCTTTCAAGCTTCAATTCCACTCGAAAGCACTGAGCTGGAAAGGTAAGGAGTTTCAGTAGTTTTCTAGTACTGTACTCCCACCACCATTAGCACTTCTGGTACTATCATGTACTAAAAAGAAATTAAGCCATGAAGATTATCTATTTCAAAAGTTTTCAGCAAAGTTAAAAAAAAAAAGTGCCACTAACACTCTTAAGAATTGAAAAATTTATCTAAGAAGAAAGGAAAATAAGCACTGATTAAACACACCTTATGCTTTCATACTAATTTTTAGTTTTAAGAATAGAGTTAATCCTTAAGTACATAAATCATTACATAAAATTTTATTTTTCTTCAAACTGTAGGGACATAAAGGGAAAAAAGAGAAATAAAATTTTGTACCAAAGGGACTGAAGGCAATAAACAAAAGGCATGACAATCAAACTCACTGTTGTACCTAGCATTATCTGCATTATTGGTATTAAACCCACGCCTCACACATACTGAGTAATCTCTACCATGAAGCTACACCACCAGTCCAAGAAATATTTTTAAATGAGCAAGACCATGCCTTTCTCCTACTTCTGTTTTATGAGATGTTTAATTTGAAAAGGTAGGGGCTGGAGATTTAGCTCAGTGGCACAACGCCTGCCTGGCAAGCACGAGGTCGTGAGTTTGATTCCCAGTACCGGGAAAAAAAAAAATTAAAAAAATTTTTTTTAAAAAAAAAAGGCTTCCAGTTGAGTTTGATATAAAACTCTAAAGCATGAGTTCAAAAGAAATGGCAAAACTAAAAACATATGAAAATCTTGAAGATAATAGAGGCCAAAAAGACACAAAAGTACATCTTAATTTCTAACAACAAATTTGAGTACTCCAATTAGTGTTACTTCCAGCACATACTGTACTCCTGAAGATTCAGCTCCTTTACTGCATGAATGTCACTAAGCTGGGCAATCCGAGCCTGCACTTTAGTTCTGCCCTCTCGACCAGTCATGTCAATTTTTTCAATCATTTGTTGCTGCTTATCAATCCAGTACAGCCAGTTTTCAAATACAGTCAGGCCCACAGGCTGCAAGATATTGGAGTCTTCTAACACTATCCTGTTGGCACCTTCAAAAGAAGACATTCAACAACAGTGACTCCATTTGGTCAAATCACACTTTCAACAATTATTTACTGAATGGCAATTAAGATTCTAAAAGCATGAGAAAGCAAAGCATATACTCTTTACCGCGAAATTTGAAAATCATGCTGAGAAGATACATGAGATTAGCTCTGGTACTATTTAACAGTGATGCAGGCATACAGGAATGAATATAGCACAGGCAGGTCTTGGTACTATACATGGTTTCAGGCAACCACTGGAGATATTGGAACATAATCATCCTAGTATAAGCCAGACTCCTGTAGATCTACGCAACACAATAGAGACAAGCAACAGAACTGAGTTGTGTATGTGTAAGACTTTCATATATAATAAAGTGATCCTCAAAACAATGGACAGACTGTTCAGTGAACGGTGCTGAAAAACTATTCACTACACAGACAAAAGGGGCTGGGGCTGGGTTGTTTATTTCATGCCATAAGCAAAAGAAGGCTACTATAAACCTGCAAATAAAGTGTGAAATCACTACAGAAAACCAGAAAGATGTACCAAAAACTATTAAGACCGAACTGAAAAGGAGGGATACTCTATGGTCATGGGTGAAAAGACTAAATTTCTTAAACATGCCAATTCTCCTCCAGTATACATGTAACTTAATGAGAAATACTCTGAATAAAGAACTCCTAGAGACCAGAAACAGAAAAATGGACAGAGGCTATGAACAGCAATTCACAGAAGAAATGTGAATTATCAAAAAATACACTCTATTAAACCTCAACAGCAAAAGGAGATTTAAATATGTATGTGTATGTATGGTAAAATAAACACACAATCTAAAACATATATGGCAAAGAGAAATATCAGACGCTATTTCTGGGGATGACAACAAGAAGAGAATCAGGGAGGGACACAGTGCTTCAGAATTCTAATATTTTATTTCAAGGGAGGAAAAGAGCAAGGAAGGACCAAAAGCAAGTATGATCAAACATCAAAACATGACAGGGGCTGGGGATTTAGCTCAGCGGCACAGCGCCTGCCTGGCAAGCGCAAGGTAGTGAGTTCGGTTCCCAACACAGGTGGGGGGGTGGTGGACCACCACAAAAAAACAAAACAACAAAACATGACAAAGCTGGATGGTAGGAATTCCACAATTTCTGAACGTTTGAACAATTTCAGAATTAGGATAGGAAAATCACCCATGCACAGAGAAAAAAAGAATCCAACTCATTAATGTGTTAATCATAGTGCCAGAGATAATGCTTTTCTTCTCTTATTTTCTAAGCTTTCTTTAATGAACATGTATTACTTTTAATAAAAAATAAAAACATCGTAAGGGAAGAAAAAAGAAAAAGGGAACCTATCTCCAATACTAATAAAAGAGCTACACGTTGACATAAATAATTACTATCCAAATTAGAGGTGATACAAAAGACACAGGGATTGGATGAGGGAAATAATACATCATGCCAGGCAAATGAATACATCTGGGTAAGTGTACACAGCTATTTAGAAACAGAGAAAGTAAATGGGGCACTGGAAACTGAAGAAAAGGCAATTTTTTTTTCTACAAGTATAAAAAAAAATTACAAATGTATTAAAAAAGATACAAACTTTCCTACAATATCAGAGTAATGTTTTCTCCCAGTAGTGAGGATTGAACCTAGGGTACTGGCACTGAGCTATTATATTAAGACCTTCATTTTTATGTTGAGACTAAGTCTTACTGAACTGCTCGAGCTGGGTACCAACATGTGGGGCTCCTGCCTCAGCCTCCAGAGTGCTGGGATTATAGGCATGTGCCACTACAACCAGCTAGAAATGATACTCTTAACAGTTTAGCATGCTAAAATTCCAGAACTTTCTCAAAATATATTTGTTTACATATTTCTAAAGGAATAGGTAGACATATATGCCCTTGGTATACATCTACTATGTGTGCCTACATGCATATTATATATATATATATATATATATATTTTTTTTTTTTTTTTTAGACAGTCTCACTAAACTG